CGACACCACAGCCACACGCCCCGACACCACGTCCACACGCCCGACACCACGTCCACACGCCCCGACACCACGTCCACACGCCCCGACACCACGTCCACACGCCCCGACACCACAGCCACACGCCCCGACACCACGTCCACACGCCCGACACCACGGCCACACGCCCCAACACCACGTCCACACGCCCGACACCACGGCCACATGCCCCGACACCACGTCCACACGCCCTGACACCACGTCCACACGCCCTGACACCACATCTGTGGGCCCCAGACCCCTATGTCCATATGCCCCTGGCTGCCACGTCCATGTCCCCTTGACCCCCATGTCTGTGTCCTCCTGGCCCCCATGTCCACATCCCCCTGACACCCACAGCCCTGTGCCCCTTACCTCTATGTCTGCATCCCCCAACTCCCCACGTTTGTGTCCCCCTGAACCCCGAGTCCATGTCCTCCCCGCTTCTGTCTGTGTTGCCCCGGCCCCACGTCCACAGAGAGACTGATGTTTGTTCTGGTGGTTTCCACGGCCAGTGCTCTGACCTGAGGCCGCTGTTCCTTCTTCAGCAGCGAGATCCCAGGAGTAAAAATGATGTGGGGGTGGGGCCCCCCATCTCCACCTTCACCAGGTGGACAGACAGTCCAGACCAACAGCCTATGGCTGAGTCCTGTGCGGCAGAGCTCAGACATGGCGCCACCTTCCAGCCTTTTATCGACTCTGACACCAGCCGTGCTCCCACAGCACTCAGTGCTCCTCTGCTGGGTTCGATAATTTGTTATAAAGGCCACACAGAGCTCACAGACAATCCTCACAATGGTGGGACTTACTAGGGAAGTGACAGGTTACAGTCCAGGACATAGTTCTCCAGTCAGGACAGCAGCTTCTCAGCTGTGCCCCCAGGCAGGGCTCTCTCTGCCCTCAGCCCTTTGGCCTTTGCACTGCCCGAGCAAAGCTCTTTAGCTCCACTGATAAGTGTCCAGTGGTACCCACTCCACCAGGAAGTCTTCTGCCCAAAGGCACTCAGCCTTCTCGCTCCATGAGTGAGGACGCCCACCGCACCACCTCCTGCCGGTCTCCTGGTTCTGCCACCGTTTCCCCTACCACTAGGTCTCTCTGTCTCTCATCATCTTTGTCATGTCTCTTGATCTCTTGACAGCTCTCTTGTCTCCTGAGTCCAGGAGGTTCCCAGCACAGGGACCCTGGATCCAAAAGACACACTCTGTTCCTATCTCTTCTTGGTCATAGTCAGATCTCTCTGCCCTCCTCTGGGAGGGCTCATTTGAAGCCTAGTAGGATAGCAAGCCAACCAATCCATTCGTTAGGGTTCCATACACCTTATTTGCATGGTCTCACCCCCACAAGGGTGCCATGCACCTTATTTGCATTATTAGCAAGCTATCCAATCCCCTTGGTGGGCCACAAGCACCTCATTTGCATAGTCCCACCCAGTCACCTGATGGCAGTTATAAGACTATGGGAAGAAGGGCCGCATGAAGAGGACCCATCACACCACAGGGCAAAGCCCATGTCAGGGTGTTCAGTGCCACAGAGCCCATCAGCACCCACCGTCCTGGGAGGTGGAACATGGCCGAGGTGTCTCCTGTACAGCCAGCGTTAGGACTGGGGGTGCAGACCCTCAGGGGGAGGCAGTCAGTGAAAGCGTGGTTGTCACACCTTATAATTCTTGTCATACCTTAAAATCCCTATTCCACCTTCTAATTATACTTTATCATTCTTACAATAACCTTTCAATTCTCACAACAATTCTGTTTCCTATGATAGTTAGGATACCTAACAAGTCTTATAACACTTTATAATTCTCCAGCTGTTGCTGTTAGGTGTTCTGCAGAAAGTTCAAACTCACAGCCGCCTCACACACAACAGCACGAAACCCTGCCTGGTCCCGTGCCAGCTTCACAACCATTGCTATGTTTGACCCATCGTGGCAGCCACTCGGTCACTCCCTCTCATTGAGGGCCTTGCCCTTCTTCATCAACCCTCCACTTCACCAAGTATGGTGTCCTTCTGCAGGAACTGGGACCTCCTGATGGCGCACCTGAAGTACATGAGACCAGCTCTCACCATCCTCAGTCCCAAGGGGCATTGTGGCTGGACTTCTTCCAGGACAGATCTGTCTGCTCTTCTGCTAGCCCATGGTGTAGTCAGCATTCTTCACTAACATCACAATTCAAGTGCATCAACTCCTCTTCGGTCTTCCTTCCTCACTGTCCAACTCTCACATGCGTATGAGGCAATTGAAATACCATGGCTTGGATCAGGCACAGCTTAATCTTCCAAGTCAAACCTTTGCTCTTTAACACTTCCAAAAGGTCTTTTGCAGCAGATTTGCCCGATGGCATACGTCATCTGATTCCCTGACTGCTGTTTCCGTGAGTGTTGATTGTGGACCCAAGTCAAATGAAATCTCTGACAACTTCAGTCTTTTCTCCATTTATCATGGTGCTGCTTATTCATCCAGTTGTGAGGACTTCTGTTTTCTTTATGATGAGGTGTAATCATAGTGCAGACTGTAGTCTTTAATCTTCATCAGTCAGTGCTTCAAGTCATCATCACTCTCAGCAACAAGGTTGTGTCTTCTGCATGTCACAGGTTGTTAATGATTCTTCCTCCAATCCTGATGCCACGTCCTTCTTCATATAGTCCAGCTTCTTGGATTATTTGCTCAACATATAGATTGAATAAATGTGGGGAAAGGATACAACCCTGACCCCCTCCCTTCCCTATTTTAAAGCATTCAGTGTCCCCTTGTTCTGTTCAAATGACAGCCTCCTGGTCTATGTACAGGTTCCTCATGAGCACAATTAAGTGTTTGGGAATCCCCTTCTCAGTGTTATCCATAATTTGTCATGATCCACACAGTTGAATCTTTTGCATAGTCAATAAAACACAAGTGGACATGTTTCTGGTAGTCTCTGCTTTCAGCTAAGATCCATCTGACATTAGCAATATCGTTTGTTCCACGTCCTCTTCTGAATCCAGGTTGCATTTCTGGAAGTTCCCTGTCAATACACTGCTATGACCGTTTTTGAATTGTCTTCAGCAAGATTTTACTTGCTTGTGATATTAATGATATTGTTCCATGATTTCCACATTCCGTGGGATCCCCTTTCTTTGGAATGGGTACAGATATGGATCTCTCCAGTCAGTTGGCCACATAGCTGTCTTCCAAATCTCATGGCATAGCCAAGTGAGTGCCTCCAGTGGGGCATCCACTTGTTGAAACATGTCAATGGGTTTCCTGTCAATTACTACAGACTTGATTTTTTTTTTTAATTGTGATTTTGGTGGAAGTTTACAGAGCAAATTCATTTTCCACACAGCAGCTCACATATACTTTGTCTCGTGACATTGATTGCAATTTCCCACAGTGTAACAGCTCCCTTCTCACTTCCTCCTCATGGTTACTTCTTCCCTGTGTCCTTCCCTCCATGCACTCCTGCCCCCCGAGCTGTCTCCCTGTGCTTACACAGTCCTTCTATTTTCCCATGATTGATCTCTCCAAGGAGTGTATCTACCTCAGGTAAATGTTCCACTCATATGCCTGTCTCTTGTTAGTCTAGAAGCCACAGGAGTGGGTTCAATTCCAGACCTGAAGGGCAGCTAGGGGCCATAGTCTCAGTGGTTCCACCAGGCTCTATCAGACCAGCAAACCTGATCATTTTTTTTTTTTTTAATTTTGAGTTTTGTTCCACATTGTTCTCCCACTCATCCAGGATCTCCTACACAGATCCCCCTCTGAGTGGTTGACAGTGGTAGCCAGGCACCATCTAGTTCTTCTGGTCTCATGGTCATATAAGCTGAGGATTGCATGGTGTACCAGTCCCTTGAATTAATTGTTTCCATGTGTCTTTGGTCTTCTTCATTCTTCTTTGCTCTAGAAGAGAAGAGACCCATCATTGCATCTAGATGGCCGCTTGCAAGCTTTTAAGATCTTAGTCTCTAGTCACCAAAGTAGGATGTGGAACAATGTTTTTATGTGTGTGTTATGCCAGTTGAGCTTGATGTCCCTTGTGACCATGGTCCCAAGCCCACAGGTCCAACTACTCACTCCCTTTGGATAGCTGGCTGTGGCCAAGAAATCACCATAACCATGTCCCTTGCAGCTCTACTATATACCCGGACATTCTTACAGAGATACAAATATGCATGTAGAAACATTGTCTACCAACCTTATACATGGTCTTGGGCACACTCCCCTTCACAGACATACCTAATAGTTCAGCCTGTCCACCCATCTATCCACCTGTATCCCCGTGTTTGCCTTCACTGATAACACAGCACTGTATCTTGGTGTCTGCACCTCTCACGCACCTCTCTCTGTCTTCTTCTTCCTCAATGCCATCAAGTTGATCACTCACATCTAGTACATTGCCCTTCTCTTCACCCAAATCAATACCTGTCTCTACCTATCTAATGGTGTTCCCTCCATTCCCCTCCCACCCCTGGTAACCAACAAAGACAATTTCCTTCCATAGATAAACCTTTCCTTGAATAACGAACTAATACATATTTGCCTTTCTGTGATTGACTTATTTCACTCAGCATAGTGTCCTCCTGGAGCCCTGTTTTTCACCAATTCCTTCAATGCAGCTTTGACTTCTTCCTGGTTCTTGATCATGTGCTACCTCCTGAAAGGGTTGAAAGTTGACCAGTTCTTTTTGGTGCAGTGACTCTGTGTATTCCTTCCATCTTCTTTTGATGGTTCCTGCATCATTCAACATATTGCCCACAGAATCTTAAGCAACTTGAGGCTTAAATTTTTTCTTCAGTTCATTCAGCTTGAGAAATGCTGAGCATGTTCTTCCCTTTTGGTTTTCTAACTGGAGATCTTTGCACGTTTCATTATAATTGACTTTGTCTTCTCGAGCTGCTCTTGGAAATCTGTTCAGCTCTTTTACCTGTCATTTCTTCCATTTGTTTTAGATCCTCTCCACTCAAGAGCAGGTTTCAGAGTCTCTCCTGACATCCATTTTGGTCTTCTCTTCCTTTCCTTTCTTTTTAATGACCTTTTGCTTTCTTCATGATGTTCCTGATGTCATCCCAGAACTCATTGGTTTTCAGTCCTTGGTGTTCAATGCATCAAATCTGGTCTTCGCCAGAAGCAGACCATCAGCCTCTCCCTCCCCATGTCCAGTGCCCCCTGGGGCTTTCCTTCCACACAGACCGTTCTGAGCTGTGTTTGAACACGGCCTCCATTTCTGCTTCCACCATCGCTCTTCCTGTGGGTTATTTTCCCTCCCTTCTGCTCCTCCCTCGTTTCCATTTCTGTTTTGTCAAATAACAGTGTGACTTTGTCCTTGACATTAAACAGTTGTATATACTTTTTTTAAAAAATCTGTTCTTCAGATGGTCTCTAAATTCATGTGGGATACAATGAAGGCCATATTTTGGCTCTTGTGGACTTGGTTTAATTGTTTTCAGCATCAAGTTGAACTCGCATATGAGCAGTTGATGGTGTGTTCCACAGTCAGCTCCTGGCCTTGTTTTGATCGGTGACATTGAGCTTTTCCATCACCTCTTGCCACGGTCGTAGTCAGTCTGATTCCTGTGTACTCCATCTGGCGAGGTCCATGTGTATAGTATAGCCACCATTTATGTTGTTGAAAAAAGGTATTTGCAATGAATAAGTTACTGGTCTCACAAAATTCTGTCGTGCGAACTCCAGTGTCATTTCTGTCACTGACGCCATATTTTCCAGCTCAATGATTCTGTTTTGTTTCCAACTTTTGCATTTCAATCACCAGTAATTATCAATGCATCTTGATTACATGTTTGATCAATCTCAGACTGCAGATGTTGATAAAAATCTTCAATTTCCTCATCCTTGGCTTTGGTGGTTGGTGTGTAAATTTGAATAATAGTTGTATTAACTAGTCTTCCTTGTAGGTGTATGGATATTATCCTATCACTGACAATATTGTACTTCAGGACAGATCTTGAAACATCTTTTGTGATGATGAATGCCACGCCATTCCTCTTCAGTGGCATTCCCGGCACACTAGATCCTATGGTTGTTTGATTCAAAATGGCCAAAACCGGTCCATTTCAGCTCCGGAAGACATGGGAAAACCTTTGAGGGTCAGTAGCCTGGGGCTGGGTCTCCCAGGACAAGCAGAGGGGGTCGGCAGCCACCAGGTGGGGCAGGCTGGCACCGGCCACAGATGCACCTGCAGGAGGAAGCGCTGGCTGGTCTGGCAGAGGGTGGGCTGCTCTGGCCTCATCATGGGTCCTGGACCAGCCACTGAGCCCTGTTGAAGCTCCGCTTCCTCATGTATAATGTGGCAGTCCCCTTGACCTTGAAGGTTCTGCAGGACTCAAGATGACCCCACTGCTGCGGAGTCGATTCTGACTCATAGAGCCCCTGTACAACAGAGTCAAAGGGCCCAGAGCGTTTCCTAGGCTGTCAATCTTCAGGGAAGCAAAGCCCAAACCACACCTACTGCCGTGGAGTCGATTCCAACCCACAGCGCCCCTAGAGGACAGAGTGGAACTGCCCACAGGGTCTCCAAGGCTGTCAATCTTCACGGAAGCAAAGCTCAAACCACACCCACTGCCGTGGAGTCCATTCTGACCCACAGCGCCCCTAGAGGACAGAGTGGAACTGCCCACAGGGTCTCCAAGGCTGTCAATCTTCACGGAAGCAAAGCTCAAACCACACCCACTGCCGTGGAGTCCATTCTGACCCACAGCGCCCCTAGAGGACAGAGTGGAACTGCCCACAGGGTCTCCAAGGCTGTCAGTCTTCACGGAAGCTGACAGGCTCTTCTTTCTCCCATGGAGTGGCTGGTGAGTGAACTGCTGAGCACTTTAACCACTGAGCCACTGTACAGGGAGAGTCATGTCCAGGGTGCAGCCTATCTCCTGGCCCCTGTGGTCTGGGCTGTGGCCCTGTGGTGATTGTGCACAGGGTGGGCTCTGTAGCTGGGGCCCAAGAGAAGATGATGTCCAAGTGCCTGCCAATGTCGTGTAGACACCACACTCTCTGAGTCCCTCAGAAGAAAGGTCTGGTGATCTTGCAAAAAAGCAGCCATTGAAAACCGTGTGGCACGCACTTCTGCCCTGACACTCACAGGGGCACCAGGTTCCGAGCCCACTCCCTGGGAACTGGTTTCTTTCGGCTCCTTGTGTCCTGTGGTCACGGGAGGTACTGTGTCCGTGTCCGCCAGACCCCTTGCCATGCTGTGTGGCTGACCTCTTGCTCTCTTTGTTAGGAGTGGGAGCTGAAGAACGGAACCTAGGAGGCCACGGAGGCTGCAGCTGCGGGAGGCGTCGGACCCTCACACGATGTCATCATCGCTGACACAGGACACAGGATGCTCCACCCAAAAGTGGTGCCATGCGGCCCCCGAGGGATTGGCAGCAACCTGACGCCAGGGCCTCGGCCCGCGAGCTTGCGTTCCTTCTGCCTAAATGGTGCCCTTTCCAAACCACACATTTGTCCCTTTGGTCTCCAGCTTCCTTGTGAGCAACCGAACCACGGAGGAAGGAGAACATGTTGTCCAGGCGTCGCGGGCAGACGAGGAGAAGGCCCGTCCTTCTGGTAGTCCCATGATTGCCTGACCCAATTTCAACCTGCCCAGGACTGAGTTCCACGGACCAGTGAGCCCGGGAAAGACCCGGACTCACAGGGAGAGATTAGGCTCAGCCCCCTGTGGCCACCACTCCGGCTGCAACAGGGGCCCGGCAAGCGAGCGTTGCCTTGTGGGCTGGACAGAGGGCCAGGGCTCCCCGAGGCCGTGGCGCGGACAGGTGCACTCCCTCCTCCCTTCTGCCCCTCACAAGGCGCCCCGGGCGAGGAAACCAGGCTGTGACGCATTTTGTGCTTTTTCTTATTACTCTTTTTATTGGACAGTTTTGTCCCCAGACGTGAAAAGCTGCCACTCTTTTTAAACCATTTTTAAAATGTTTCTCTTGCATTGTTGCCCTTAGACGTAAGGATAGTCCAGAGATTTTGTGTTAAATAATTGTATTAACTCATTCAGCTTTCTCCCCAGAGATGCTGATGACCGGGGGGACATGCTTGTTTCTCTGTCCACGGGACCCCAAGCACCCGGCGCCGGCCTCGGCTTCACACGCAGGAGCCTGGCTCTTGTGTGCAGCCTGGCCGCCATTGGCACCCGGACGGGCCCTGGGAAAGGAGGCGGGGTCTGGATGGTGGTGATGTAGGGTCATGTGTCATGGAGCGCTCTGCCCCCCACCCCCCTGCCTGCAGTCCACAGCTCTGAGCACGCAGAGCCTCCGTGTGCCCCTGGGCGTGAGGGACCCGGGTCGGAGCGCCTTGGGTGGGGTCCCGGCACTTCTGGGGAGAGCAGACGTCTGAGGCGCAGAGGGGACCAGCCAGCGTTCTCGGTGGGCCGTGTGCTGGGGTCCTCGGCCGCGGGGCAGGCAGCAGGCCGACCGAGTCATAGGCTGCGCCACGGTGCGTGCCCGTGGGCTCTTTCCAGTGAGGGCGATGGCACCGTTGACGGGGCCCTGCTGCCCCGAAGGCTCTCCCCGTCAGTCTCAGGGCTTGGTGGTAAAGAAAGCCCACAGCCCGTCTCCCCGGTCCCGCGCCCCAGTGCATCCTGGACAGCCAGGCTCCTGCGAGGCCATGTCTGATTTTTCTGATGGAGGCAGGGCAGCCGTCTCCTTGTTTCCAGACCCTGAGAATTAGAAGCTGTCTGGTTTGGGTCTTCCTGAGCTGGGGGTGGACCGTCTGGGAGCAAGTTCAGTTGGGGGGCTGTCCGCCCGTAGACCCTCTGTCATGAGTCACCCCACTTGGGGAACTTCCCGTGCTGCTGACAAAGGCCAAACGGAGGCAAGGGGCCGGACCTTCTGGCAGCGCCCTGTCAGGAGGAGCCCACCCGCTTGTCTTTCTGTAGGAAGCAGTGTCCTGCTCGCCTGTGAAGCCTGCTGCTTCCAAGGGAGAGCTTAGGGTCTGCCCGACCTCCCTGTCTGCGGTTGGTCACCTGTGGGAGCTTGCATAGGCCCCTGGGGCAAATGTGGGGGGTCAGTCCAGACCACAAGGGTTTTGCCACCTCCAGCTCATCTGTGGCTGCTGGGATGAAGGCTGGGCCTGCTGCCCGGCCGTTCTCCGTGCCTGGGGGAATTGGGCCGGCTTCTAAGTGTTTCTTCAAGGAGGCAGACGGGCGGCCTGGTCCTTGCCCGGGCCTGGCCTGTTGGGGGCGCTCTGACCTGCGAAGAGTCAGTGCCAGAGAGCCAGGGCCACCAGGGGGCGCTCGGAGCCACCCAGAGCCATGTCTTCATTTTGTGAATGAACCTCGGAGACCCGGAGGGCAGGGGCCCTCAGGCACTGCTTGGGGCCAGAGTTGGACCTTGGCCTCCAGACTCCTGGGGTCCCTAGTTTGTGTTTTTAAAAAAACAGATTTTTAAATCCACTTTCCTCAGTGTAGGCCTTTTAATGAGGACGGCAAACTCCGAGACCGCTGTGACCTTCCACGGGCCCGTTTGAAATGGGCTGAGTGGGAGGGGGTGTGTTTGTCGCTGGACCCCGTTGCCGTTGGACATGCCCTGATTTCTTTAGATTTGATCGGAAAATTAGTTTAAAGCATTTGCTTCAAAATAAGTTATTTATTTGTATATGTTCAAGAAATGTAATTTGTAATTTATGTTTGTACATACTAGACACACACAGACACCTTGTCAGCATTCTCAGAGTGATCCCACTTGATTCCCCCACCCAAACCCGCCCCACAGGAAGCACCCCCTCTTGCCCCTGGGGCAGATGTGAGCACAGTGGTGGCTGGGCTCAGGGGTGCCTAGTCCAGCCTTGACCCCTTACCCCCTGTGCATGGCACAGTCCCCTGGGAGAAATCAGATTACCTTTCCAGTGCCACCCCATACTTTTGCATATGGTCACTGAGTGTGGGCCACAGCACCACGGGATCCCACTTGAATTGAGTGCAAGGACTGGCCTAGGACAGGGCAGTGGGGCTGACTGCCTCAGCGGGCGGGGAGGTCACTCTTGCTACCGCATGGGGCAGCTGGGCCCTTCCTCTGAGCCCTGCTCCCAGCGTGTTTTGGTACGGCATCGTCCACCTTCAAAATCCCGTGTGTGTATTTTTCTCACTTTTCCGGTTCACTCACCAGTCTTCTGCATAGAAGCTGGTGGGGTGGTTGGAAGGTCAACTTTGCCACCAAGGCCTCGGCCACAAGACATGGTGCTTGCTTCCTCTTTGCTCAGATTCTGGGATGTTCAAGGTGAGCAGCTCGGCCTGCACCTGGGGCTACACTCACACCCTGTTTCTAGCCATCCATGGGAGGCTTAGGTCATCCCAGGATGCCGGAGTCTGTCCATCCAAAGAGGGTGGTCATCTCCTGCACAGAACCTTCCAGAGCCCTGGGGACTGGGATCAGATCCATGAAAAGCCAGTCTCATTCCATCATGTGTCACCTTGGGGCTGCCAGCATCATCCTCTCCCCACAGTGACTCATGGCCATTTCCGCAAAACCCAAAGCAGTTTTCACAGTGACAACAATTTGGGTTCTTGGGCAGGTTTCAAGGGCACAACTGTGAGGCTGGGGTTGTGGATGACACTCATGCATTTGAGGCCCCATCTTATCCTGGAAAAGAATGCTGAGTCTGTTGACACACTGTTGGGGGAGAATGTTGGGTCTGTGTGGGCACAGAGCCAACTCACCAGCAGTATTCCCTATGTGTTGACCTGAGACTTAGAACCAGAAGCCTCCCAAAGGTCCCACAGGTAAAGTTGGGTGAGGCCTCACCTCCCTCCCCTTTGTGCCTCAGTGGAAAGGGGGCAACTGCCAAGGTGTCACCCTTACCTGGCGTAGTCGGCAGGTGACAGATTGCCTTGGTAGCTCACACTGGGACCCTCCAATCAAGTAGCAGTTGATCTTTAGAAATTACTTCTTCCAAGTGTCTCTACCGTGTCAGAGTCAGCAGACAAGATGGTCCTCAAGTCATAAACGTCACAGCAATAGGGGCAGATTAAACTATTTTCGTCCTCTTTTTTTTTCCCTAAAATATATTTTTAATGGGGAAAAAAATAGGTTTGAATCAGGGCATAGTTTGAAAGATGGGGGCCACTTTTTTGTTTTGGTGGTGGTGGTGGTGGTGGTGTTCTGTTTTTTATGCCCATGATGGGCTGGCCTCATCCTGTGAAAGAAACTGAGACCTGGAGGCTGTGTAGCTTTTACTCATGGGATGTGCATTGTAGAAGGAGCCAAGTGGTGCCTGTGTGAGCACCTAACACTCCAAGCCATAGTGGGATGTCTGACCATTTCAAAAGCAGGGACCTCCACAGCCAGGATGTGGCTGCCTCCAGCTGCTTCTTGCTTGGTTTCGTGTGAGAGTTCAGTTACATCCTTCTGGGAGAGCTCGCCTTTCCAGTGTGTATTTTGGCTGTTGCCATGGGAGATCTTTCCAGGAGGCTGCCATTCAATCCTAATTCTTAGGGACCAAAGGAGTTTTTAGTAATTTTTTAATTTGACACAATGGGACTTGAAAATTTCACATCCACTTTTAAATGACAGACATTCAGAATCAGTTGCCCATGGCTGTGAGTTGTAAAATGTTTTCATATTAAGAATGTAATTATTTCCTGATTGTATTTTTTAAATAAACTAAAGTCATATTTAAAATTCTTTTAGGAAGAAGCAGGCAAAACAAAAAAGGAAAGACAATTTTTTTTAACTTAAAATATGTTGGCAGTGCCCATTTTAAATGACTGTAGATATTTTTCACTTTTTCAATGTATTTAATTCATAAAGGGAAGAATTTTATCGAAAGAAATTTGCAATGGAAATGTTACTCTTCAGTCCGTCGGCCCCATTTTGTAGCAGCGTCACTCGCGTTTTCTACGTAACTCGTGGGTTTTCTAATACTTTACACGGTGTAGCCACCGACCGACCGGCGCCCTGTGGCGTGACCCTGTGTGACTAATAAAAATTTGCTATTCCCACAAGGCCCTGCGTCCTCCCTGAGTTTGCTCTTAGCAGGCAGATGTGATTCCAGCTTTGAAGTAGTTTTCATTGAAGGGAACAGGTGCTTTCCTGACAAGAGGCCATGCCCTGGGAGGGAAGGGTAACTGGGGAGGTGGGAGAGCGGTGAAA